AGCTTTGCTGGATAAAGTAATCTTGGTTGTAGGTTCTTGGTATTCATCACTTTGAATATTTCTTGCCACTCCCTTCTGGCCTGCAAAGTTTCTGTTGAGAAATCAGCTGACAGTTGTATGGGTACTCCCTTGTAGGTAACTGACTTTCTTTCTCCTGCTGCTTTTAGGATACTCTCTTTGTCTTTTGCTCTTGGCATTTTAGTTATGATGTGACTTGGTGGGTCCTCTTTGGATTCCTTTTGTTTGGGGTTCTCTGCGCTTCCTGGACTTGGAAGTCTATTTCTTTCACCAGGTAGGGGAAGTTTTCTGTCATTATTTCTTCAAATAGGTTTTCAATATCTTGCTCTCTCTCTTCTTCTGGCACCCCTATAATTCGGATGTTGGTATGCTTGAAGCTGTCCCAGAGGCTCCTTACACTATCTTCGTATTTTGGGATTCTTTTTTCATTTTGCTTTTCTGGTTGGGTGTTTTTTGCTTCTTCGTATTTCAAATCTTTGACTTGATTCTTGCTATCCTCTGGTCTTCTGTTGGGAGTCTGTATAATATTCTTTATTTCAGTCAGTGTATGCTTAATTTCTAGTTGGTCCTTTATCACAACATCGAGGGTCTCATTAGTTTTCTTGAGGATCTCACTACATTTATTGGCGGTCTCACCAGTCTTTTCGAGGGCCTTACTAAATTTATCGGCGGCTTCTAGACAGTTCTTTAAAGACCTTAAAAGTGTGGTTTTGAACTCTATATCCAGCAGTTTACTTTCCTCCATTTCTGTCATTTGTGTCCTGTTTTTTGTCTCGGCATTTTTTATGCTTCGCTGTGTCGATAGAGTGACTTTCTGTGCTAAGTGTCCCAATTACCTGAGGTAGACACTCTTGGTGCATCCCCTTGTGGGCTTTGTGCACAGTCTTGTTGTAGTTAAGTCTTGATTGTTGTAGTTATCACTGGGAGGAATTGACCTCCAGGCCAATTGGTTGTGAGAATCAGTTGTGTCTGCAGTGGGAGAACTTCTGTGCTGGAGACACCCTTATGGGGCAAGACTTGCTTCAATGGGGCTTTGGTGTTCACTGAGTCTGCCCCCTGAGTGTGTCCTTTATGATTCCACGGAGCTGCAAACTGGATGGTCCCACTCTGACCTCTGGGCTTCCTGGCTCCTAGATCTCTAGGGAGGTGCTAATCTAGCCTTTGCCTGAGGCTATCCAGCAAAAGCCTCCCTGCAGGGCTTAGGCGGGGAAAGTCCCAGGGGATCAACAGGACGGGGCTATCAGTTATGGCTGCTCTCAGTCTTGCCCTCAGAGGCTCTGCTTCTCATTCCCCCGGTAATCGCTGCAAGCCCCTCGGAGAGAAAGCTGCCCTCGGGTTCCGATCGATGCCAGACAGTCCCGCTTCTCCTGTATGAGTCTGGGTCCCTAGAGACTCGCCCAGAACTGGAGCTCAGAGCCTGAGACTCCCTCCCAATTGAAAACGACAACCGCGCCCTCAGCCGCCAGCCCGCTCCGCTTGCACATCCGCACCTTAGTATTTTACTTCCGTACTGCGCCTCCTCTGAGTCTCTGTATGCTTTTCTCTTTTCTTCTAGTTGTAGAATTTCCACTCAGCCAGTCTTCCTGTGGTTCTGGCTGATGTCCGTTTGGTCTTTTAGTTGTATTTTTGAAGTGGTTGTTCGAGACAGCAAACTCAGGTGTTTACCTATGCTGCCATCTTGGTTTCTCAGAAGCATAGTTTCAATCAACATCTTTGGATAATCACGTGATCAGTCAAGAAAATTAACCAAGAATTAGGGTATGGTCTATGACTCTGGAAAAATCTATTAGATTAGACATGTGGGAAACATATGTTTTCACTCAAAAGTCAAGACACATGATCTAACAAATACAATCACATCTCTTTCTGTCCCAGAAAGATTTGAATGTATAATGTACTAGTATGTGGCTACCCAACCTGATCTGTCATTTTTGCCTTACTATGGCATCTAAATATGCCAATGCAAGACATTAAAATAATAGCTAAAAGTAGCTAACATTCTTGTTGAGCTTACGATGCAGTAAGCATTATGTGATGTAATCATCTCATCTAATCTCAACTGTACTTTGAAGCAGATCTTTTTACTATCTCCATTTCACAGATGAGGAAACTGAGGCTTAAAAACTTGCCAAAGGTCACTCAGCCAGCAATGGGCATCTAAGCAGCAATGGATGAGTAGTGTGTTTGATCCTTTCAGTCATCCTTCAATACTGACCTAACCATGACCTCTTAACCTTATTAGATCTTCAAAAGAGCCACTTTTAGACAAAAATAGCTTGTGGTTTCCGGAAATTTTTATTAAAACTCTAAATCTCCTGGCAATAACTTTCAAAAGTCATGATTCAGACCTGCAGTGATATTTGAAAATGGAATCACAAAGCAGGTCTCCTGGCTACAGAGATGCTCTCACTGCTGGAGAAGAATGCTCAACCTTGACATTTATGACAATCTGTGTTTTTCCTGTTATTGGATCTTTTGCCATAATTTTCTATTGAAAGACACTGACCCTCATTCTATTCTCCCTGAGAAATCATCTCTTTCAGGTTTAATCAGAATGTCTTCTTCCTTAGTTGTCATTTCATTGGGATCTACAGCAATGTTTCTGAAAGTCATAACAACTGATGACCTGAGTAACGATCTTTATTACCTGGGCACTCACAAAAATGCATATTCCTGGGCCCCATCCCACAACTATCACATAGAATCTCTGCACATGGGAGCCCAGGAAACAGCATTTTATTCACATCTCTCAGGTAATTCTTATGAATGTTTCAGAATCACAAATGTAGTCTCCAGGTGCTCACAAGTCCAAGTGTGGTCCCTAGACCAACATCAGCAGCTTGTTAAAACACAAGAAATTCTTAGGCCCTAATCCTAAACTACTGAATCACAACTTGCATTTTAATTAAATTCCCAGTTGACTCATATTTACTCTGTCATGTTGTGCATGCAGAGAACTGGTGATCTAGAACAGTGTTTCCTAACACTTTTCATATCATGACATGCACAGAAAACAAAAGCATTTGTTTGGCATACAGATGAGAATGCCTGCTGTGACATTGCCTGCCCCAAACCCTAGCCTGGCCACCCTGAGGCTGAGGAGATTGATATCATGGGCATTCCTGTGACACATTTCACTGGGTGAGAAGCACTGGTCTACTTAAAGCACACCCAGTTCTTCTAACTTTCTTCATGAGGCATAACTCCCTAAATCTTGCTTATTCTTATTTCCCTCATGATTTATCATTTCTTTTCCTGCAAGCTAAGAGTTAGAAAGACTAGTTCCCAATCAACTAGATCTTAGAAATCTTCAAGCAATGGAAGCACACAGTCTCATCTAAGTTCTAGGTGGACTCTGAGAAATGCAGAGAGAAGACTTGTGTCTGTATACTGAAGAATCATCTGCTTTGGCCTAAGAAATACTGGAAAGAAATAAGAGCCTTCTTGCCTCTGAAGAATGCTCCTTTCCCCTTAGTTCACAAATCTGAGCATGAAGGATCAGCAACACTCAAGGTAGCATCCTCTCTACTAAAGACTGTGCCAAGAAGAATGTGATTTTGTTTAATCTTAAGCAAAACCTCCCAGCATATAAACTGGACAGGTATCCCTTCTCTTAGCCAGCTCCTGATGGGACAACAGTTGGGATGGAGGGAATGGAATACCTTCAGAAACACTTCCTGGTGAGACCATCTGATCAAAACAACCAAGTGTCAGGACACACCATCTGACTTTGCAAAGCTCTCAGCTACATGGGAACCCCATTGTTTATTCCCACTAAGGAAAATATTGAAAAACATCAAACTCAAAATAGTGAGCTCTTACTTGGAAGCAAATATGACCAGGTCTACCCCTAAATGAAAGATGGTCATGGCCTAAGCAAATGCAATTGAGGAATAAGTGAGGAAAACAATTTCTATAAAACAACTCACTTTTTTATTTTTTCTCTTTCCACCTTGCCTGCAAATCTGTGTCTAATTCTCTTCACTCTGCTTCCTTCAGTCAGAGCATAGACAAAGTAGCACACATTTTGGCTGGTTTACTGTGGGGCTACCTCTCCATTGTCCCGAGACTGTACATCCCTCAAGTCTCAAAAGGCTGTCATATCTTCCCTTTGCACCCCAACTATACCCAAGAGAGGGCTCTGCCTGAAGTCTCTGTGCATTAATAGTAGAAAGGACAGTGACCAGAGCCCGCTGTCATTTGTCACCACTGGTTGATTTTCATGGAACAGGGGCCCACAGGCCTTTCTCCTGCTCTGACCAGGAAGGTCAGAGATCACTTGGCAATTCACCCAGAGTAGTCATGGTGTCTAAGAAATGAAAAAGTTTTTTCTCTAACTTTGTAGCAAGAACATTTAGTAAAAATAAATAAATAAATAAAATAAATTCCAACATCTACACAATGGAATACTATGCGGCGATATGGCGATAAGAAAGGAGTTCTTACCATTTGCAACAGTATGGATGGAACTGGAAAGCATGCTAAGTGAAATAAGCCAGTCAGAGAAAGATAAATATCACATGATCTCACTCATCTGTGGAATATAATGAACAACATAAACTGATGAACAAAAACAGATCCAGAGACAGAGACGCATCAATCAGACCGTCAAACCTCAGAGGGAAGGTAGGGGAGGGTGGGGGTAAGGAGGAGAGATCAACCAAAGGACTTATATGCTAGCATATAGGCCTAACCAATGGACACAGACAACAGTGGGGTGAGGGCATGAGTGGGGGGAATAGGGGGTAATGTGGGGATAAGGACACATATGTAATAACTTAATCAATAAAAAAAATTAAAGAAAAAGAAAAAGAAAAAATAATAAAAATAAATTCCAGTCCTAATCATCTGATTAACAAGTGCTGAAAACAGAAGCTTGGGGAATGCTGGGGACTTGGGCCTCCCAGCCCCAATTGTGTAGCTGTTTTACATGACCATTTCAGATACAGAATATTGAGCCATGTCTCTGCTTCATGGTCCAGGATGAAGAACAAGCTGTGGTACTTTGAATTTGGCACCTCGGAGACCTTCGCAGCCACCTGCAAGAAACTCCATGACCACATAGAGTTGGAGGTAAGTCCCCAAATGGGAAGAAAGCTTCCTGGACCTTGGTTCTGCTCCTGGACTGTCACACACACCTTCAGGACATGTCCCCATGGGTCCTTAATTGGTGACCCAGAGTGTAGTCCATATGTTGTACCTCCATCCTCTGCAGCCTCACTCAGAGGAGGCTCTAATTGCTGCACCAGCCTTTCTTGGCCTGTCCAGGGATCCTTGGGGTTCTGAGGTCTAATGGCCCAAAGGACCAGGGCCACAGTCTATTTCTGCCCTCAGCCTTCTTCCCACTGTGGCCTTGCAATTCCCCCTTTTCAGAGAGGCGAAGATTTAGTTGCAGCAAGCACAGGGAGAAGAGCTACTGCTAGGGTAGAGGCAATGTCCTAAGCCCAGTAAAAGCCTAGGAACTGGGGACCACAGGGCAGCAGGGGTGAGAGGAAGTAAGGCCAGAGGTGACCGGACATCCCCCCGCTCACTCGCCTCAGCTTTCACAGCTGCTTCAAGGAGCTGACTTATAGGTCCTCACTGCTGGCTTTGTAGGTGTGCAACCTGTGTGGTCGCTCAGAAGGGCCCTCCATCGTATGCTCTTCTGTCACCATCTTGAAATTCTTGATAATCTTCACAAAGGGCCCTGCATTTTCATTTTGAACTGGGCCCTTCAAATTATGTAGCTGATCCTGTTGGTGCACTCGTGATTTACTGACTCTTCCGGCACTTGTAGCAGCCTGCCTGCCTCAGAAAGTTTGCCTCTCGGCTTCCCTTCCTGGGTTGATAAGCTGCCCACTCCCACCCACTCACCCCACTTCTGCTGGATTGCTTTGGTGAAGTCCTCTCCCTGCTCTGTCTCTGGCCACCTAAAAGTCCAAACTTCTATGCACACCAGCTCGGTCTCTGTTCTGCAGGACCTCAGGCCCATTGGTTACCTGGCCCATGGTTCTCAGCCACCAACCCCACCTTCCCATGGGATTCAGGCCCGTGGTGTTCTTTTCACTTGTGAATGGCAAAGTCAGAGAGTTCAGCCAGGAGGGGCTCCCCCTGGCCCACCAGCTTTGTCCCTAAGTCTGCATTCGCTGGCAAGTGGGGCCTGGGCATTCTTATACGGAGGAGCAGTTGGCCTGAAGCAGTGTGGGAAAGCCCCACCACTCCCTGCCGGAAGGGAGTCTGCATTCACAGGGAGTGTTCACAAACAGAACACAAAGCCAGAGATTCTGGGCTTGCATTTGACTCATCTGTCTGTCTCTCCCGTTGGTTGCTGGGTTACCAACCACAGGGTGGGAGGAGCCAATCCAGCTCATCCCCTGAACTTTTGGCAGCTCAAGTTAGAGGGCAGAGACCTGGGAGCCCAGGTTGTATCCCCAGGTGGTACCACCCAACACCTGCAGAGGCTGAGGAGCCAGCCATCCTCTGATGATACACAAATCCATTGCCTGGAGGCTGCAGCGAAGGAGGAGTGCTGAGCATGGCTACCAGAGAGTGTGCATTTTTCCTATTGGCAGGACCATGCAGTGGGCACTCTTTAAATATACCCTAAGTGAGGGACAGCCCTGGCCTCGCCACTGCCAGCTGCAGGCGGACAGCGACTGCTTGTTCTCCCTGCAGCTGGCCTTGAAACTAAACCCAGAATAGAGCTGCTCTGTCCCCCTGCCTCTGTGGCCCGCCCTCCCAAATCCCAGGACTCCTACCCCCGCCTCCAAGCCAGCCTTGCCTAAAGTCCCCTCTGGATCAAAAACGCAAGAGCTCTTCCTCAAGTGCATAGCAGGCTGGTAGCCTGGGTGCTGAAGATGCTGGTGGCCTCTGGTGGGGGGGGGGGTGTGGCTTTTAGGGGCACTTCCTGTTTTTCTTATAATGAGTCCTTTTAGTATTTATTCATGAGGCTAAGGGGTGGGGTGTCATGTGACAGTAGCTCCTGACAGTCAGCAAGATTGGGACAGGCACCATTTTTGCATCTAGAGAGCAGTGCATGGATGGTCCTGTGCCATGTGAGCCAGGGACAGAGGGACAGAGATACAGGAGAGCAAGGCAAGTGAGTGACAGGTGTGAGGAGGCTGCCCAGCTCCACAGGTAGCTGTGAGAGCACAGGGCCCTCAGGAAGAACAGGAGGAGAAGCTATGTTAAGTGACCACTGCATATATCAGCTCAGGCCTGTGAGGACCAACACACCCAACACACCCATCAGTTCAAGGCCAGCCACCCCAAGAATAAACCCAGGCAGGTATTTATACCACACGTCACCATTTCAAAGCCCCACCGTAGCCTTTATTCCATAGTCACACAACAACCTGATGAGCTACGCAGGCCAGGCATTACTATCCCCATTTCATGGAAAAACAAGAGGAGGCACAGAGGTTTTGAAGGGTAAACAGAAGGGAAATAAAAATAAAAAGTTACATGCTTTGACTGCCTATCATCGTGTGTCCTCGTTTGACACAATAACCCAATGAAGCAAGGACTACCACATTGTTTAAATGAAGAAACTGAGTCTCGGATACATTGAGTAACTTGACCAAGATTTCATTGCTAAAGCCTGGTAAGAGAGAAGATTCTAGATCTCCTGGAATGAGTGTAGCTTAGAAGCCGTAAACAGAGTTCTATCTAACTAGCACTAGAGACTCAGTGAACTCTTAGCACTGATGCAGTTTCTTCTGCCTTTACTGAGTGTGGGGCCATTCGGTTCCCTCTCCGCTGAGACAGCTGGGAAGGCTGCTCAGAAGTACTTTCCGAACAGAAGACATAGTCCTCCTGCTCATTTGAGAAAGGAACAGGTTCAGGCTAGATGGTAGGTGGGAGTCAGAGAGGAAAACTGCCTCCAAGTTTACAAAAGGTTTTCCTACGTAGCATCTCATTTGGACCCACAGAACATGCAGGGCAAATATTAATGTCCTCACTTTATGGGTGAGGAAACTGAGGCTGAGCGGTTCAGCAACTTGAGAAAGGGCACGAAGGTAAAGGGTAGAAGGGAAAAGATAGGAAAGTCTATTTAGATTCTGTGTGTGTGTCACTGATTTTAAAAAGTTGGATGGTGAAACGGAGCTAAAATGAGATTATGGAGGGAGGGTCTCCATTAAAAGCCTCTCACGCGGAATTCAACCTCTGGGGCCAGTGGCTTGTTGAGAAAGCCTAAGAGACTTGGTCTTCTCTGAAGTGAAGCTTACAGCCCAGTTGACATAAGAGGGAATATAGTACTCACTTAATGAGTGCTAAGCAGATTGGATCCAGGGGTCCTGGAGAGCCATGTGAGCTAGATCATCCAGGTCAAGGGGGAGAGAAGGTGACTTGATATCTATTGCTCACATGCACACACTAGGCCAGGGCTGGCACAGTGAAAGGGGCCTGGCCTAGTCACACAAGACCGGGGGTTAGCCCTGTTCTGCAATTAGGTGAAGTAACTTGCTAAACTGTGTGTCTGAGCCTCAGTATTCTCATCTATAAAATGGAGCAAGAGGGGTTAGCCTACTTCCCAAGACTATAGTTCAGATTAAAGTTTTCAGGGTTGTTGTTTATTAAGTAACTGGTAATGATGCTAAGTGCCTCACAGAATCTGCAAAGCAGCCTCAAGTGGCAGATGTCAAAATCACCTTTTCAAAGAAGGGGATAGAAGCTGAGAGAAGGCAAGAAGCTCACCTGAAGTCCACAGCCCATGAGTGGTCAGGTCAGGCTTCAAATACAGATTTGACCAAAACCAGGGACTTTCAGGGCAGTACTGGCACTTTAGTCTGGAGCAGAGATTCTCAACCAGGTGTGGGGCATATCTGATCTGCTTTTATTCACATATTTTTATTTAACATTTCAGATAGCATTAAAACTAGGCATGAGATTTTTACATTTATCAAAAAGAGAGCACAGTCCTGACTGGTGGCTCAGTGGTTAGAGCACGGTCCCTCATACCAAAGGGTTGCAGGTTCAATTCCTGGTCAAAAGCAGGTACCTGGATGCAGGTTTGATCCCTGCCCCAGTTCAGGGCTCGTGTGGGAGGCAACTTATCAGTAACCCCACCCCACCCCACCCCGCACCTCTCTCTCTGTCCCTCCCTCCCTTCCTTCCACTCTCTCTAAAAATCAATGAAAAAAATATTCTTGGGCGAAGATTAACCAAACAGAGAGAGAGCATAAAAAATATTCCAAATGCTCACCCTAAATGCTCCTTCACAGGAACACACAGGAAGGCCTGTGAAAACTCGTCTGTTCCTGGGAAGTGAGTGCTCAGTACATTGTGGCTGACCCTAATTAAGACGCCAGCATGTCACCCTCGTGACTCTCATCACCTCTGTCTAGGGCCATCCCTCCGGGTCTCTCAGAGTCTCTGGCTTCTCTTCCCTCCCAAAGCTGCCCTTGATGCTCACTTTAATCTGATTTCACCTGAATAAACAGGTGGGGGATGGGACGAGGGAGAAACTCAGTGAGTCATCTCCGCACCCCAGGCCCAGAATAGCCTTGCAAAAGTTTTTGATGTGATCATAGTTAGGTGGAGCAAACTAGGCAGGCTTCGACTCGAGCACTTATTTTACATGCTGTGGAAATTTTTCATTTTACTGGCTAAAAATAAGAACTTCCAAAATTCCTTGATATTTCATCTACTTTAAAACAATGTTCACAAGGGAAGGCGAGCCAGCTCCAGTAACACGAACCTCTGCATGGGGAAAAGTGAGTCCCAATTTGGAAGCAGCTCAAAAATAATTTGTTATCCAGTATATTTTGGAAATCTCAGTACATCAGTTCCCCCTCCTCTTTCAACTGAGGTTAAAAAAATAAAACAACAACAACAACAACATACTACAAAGTCCTGAGAACAGTATGTCAAACACTCCCATTTCCCACTCACTTAGAATTGGTATTTGTCAATATTTTGTTTTATTCCCTTCAAGTATATTTTAACCAAAGAAATAAAATATTACAGGTAGAACTGAGTCACGCCCTCCCCCCCCCCTCCCCCCGTCCTTTTTCACTCTGCAACTTGCCTTTTTCACTCACCATTATGTTCTTGAGATCTCTCCATGTCAATGTTGATAGAGCTAGTTCATG